TGAACACATCTACTCTGGTAGAAAGATGAGAGTCCCCCTTCATCATATGTACAAGCTTGGAATCCACATGGAGCACATAGTCGTAAGGGCTCCCGAGGAGTCAGCATCAGCTTGTAGGCAACAGAAAGCGGGGAGGGACTCCATCATGAAAGAACGCACTAGGTTATGGAACTTCTATCTTGTCCCAGAAATGGAGAAACCAATCAAGGATTTTTTTAAGAACCACCACATAGGGCACCTGGTGGAGGAATGGTTATCATTTGGGCTGCTAACCACATGGTCAGCTGTTCAAAACCACCAGCCACTCCTCATGACAAAGACGGGGTTTTCTACTCCTATAAAGAGTTACAGTCTTAGAAACTCTACCTTGTCCTATATGGTTGCTATGACTCAGAATCCACTCGATGACAGTGAATTTGGTTCCCACCCCTACCCAAGGGGACGAACAACAGAAACATGGATGAAGAGAGACAGTAGACAGTGTAAGATATGAAAATAATAATTTAAATGTATCAGGGGTTGGGGAGGGAGGGAAAAAACAGAAGAGCTAATACCAAGGGCTCAAGCAGAAAGAAAATGTTCTCAAAATAATGGTGGCAACCTATGTATAAATGTGTTTGATACAATTCGTGTATGCATTGTTATAAGTGCCATCAATAAAGTGATTTGTTAATTAAAAAACAAGACAAACCCCAGTGCCATCGAGCTGATTCCGATTCACAGCCATCCTACCGCAGAATGATATTATTAGGTCAACCTTTGAAAAACAAATTATTCTAGCTGCTGACCAGTGATAGAGCTGGGATGAAATGACCAGGTTCTCTGTAGTAATACATGGAAGGGGAAAAAAATGAAGGTTTAAATGAAAACAGAGGGCAAATTACATGACTGATTTGAGAGAAACGGTTGGGTGTGCTGTGCAAGAAGGTGAGCATTTCAGAAAAGAATGTAAGTAGACCAAAGACGACAAGCTCCCCTAGACTATGCAAATGAAAGTTGCAGCTGTGTCTATTCCAACCCGGGGTGTCCTCCTTTACGGCTATGATGAAAAAGGGGAAGCCCCTCCACACAGTGACTACAACAACAAGCTCAAGTGTGATGATTGTGAGGATGGCGAAAGGTGGGGCAATATTCAGAAGATTGCTATGCGCTGGAAATGACTTGGTGGCACCTAACAACCACCACCACCTTTATAGAAGCAGATTGCCGGGCCTTTCTTCCACAGCACTACTGATGGGTGGTTTTGAACCACTAACCTTTAGGTTATTAGTCGAGCCCAAGCCATTTGTCTGCTCACTGCTTCCAACAGTATACACAAGAAACATGTTTTGCTGATAATAGATCTTCATTTAAAAGATACCATTATCAAAGTAACTCTCAACATATATGTTTTCTATTATAAAAGTAGCTCATATATTAGAGTATTTGCAAATACAGATGAAAAATACATCTATATTTCTACAAATCACAGAAAACTGGTATTAATAGTTTGATTTGGACTACATATAGTACTTAAAGATGTCTCTTAAAATATCTACAATATATGCAGAGAAGTATAAATTGACTAAGTATTTTGGTAGTTAATGTTTTGGAAAAATAAATCAATAACAATAATTACCAAATCCTATGAATTCAGAAGAAGAATGGACTCTTAAGAGAGCTTATATAATAAAATATATAAACTCTATTTAAATTTATTAAAATTGGCTTAATATGAAGTTTTAACTACTAGTATCTTGTTTTCACATAAGACTTTTCTCTACTACACAATGGCATATGAAAACCCTTACCTTAGATTCATAATGAAGATCTCTGATTACAGCCCCCAGCAGCTTGGGCTACAGATACATTCTCATTCATAACACTGAGCTCTAGAAAGTTCTGTAATATATTCTAAGTATCCATCCTAAAGGTGACCAAAGCATATCAAAACAAATATGGATAACCAAAATTAAAATGCAGATTAAAGGTAAAAAGTGCTGTTTTATTTCACAAGAAAATTAATGGGGTGTCTTCATTGTAGTGGCTTGGATTTTGTTATTTTCAAACAGCATAGGAAAATGTTGGATTCAAGAAGAGCAACATGTTTAAACTTGTTTTTATAATCTTGGCTGACTTAAATGTGTGCATTGGCTGAATCATCCCTTCATGTCACTAGACCTTGTGCAGACCTGTGATTATCTTATTGATCCAAATACCAAAAGCATAAGAAACCAGGAACTTGGAGTATCATCCAACTTGAAAGGAACAGCTCATAGCTTTGTCTGTCAATTTTAAAGGACTTGTATTTCAGCTGATTTTCTGTACTGATTACACGCCCACTTAATTAATGACATAAACCATAAATAGAAATATTTTTAAAGTGGAGAGGCACAAAAGAGCCAACACGCCGCAGGATTTCAGAGCCTATCAACATTTATACAAACATGTATCTTGACTAACAAGAAAAGAGAAAATACGCCTTTTCTGCATCGTTACCTTGGTGACTTCCTTGGCTTATTATTGACCTTTCTAGGGACTAATTTGTGAGGATTCCCTTTCAGTTCTATCATTCATTCTCTTTTCCTCTATCTATAATGGGTTAAGTATATATTCTTGTAAAATACCTCCATGAAGGAACCTGTCAAAAATGTTCTTTAGAGATTTCTGATTGCAGTAACATAGTGAAACCATGAGTTGCTATTGTTAGATGCCATTGAGTTGGTTCTGACCCACAGCCACCCCACGAATGACAGAACAAAAGGCAGTGCCCAATCCTGTAGCGCTCTCAAAACCATTGCAGCTTCAGCTCATTGTTGCAACCACTATGTCAGCCCATCTCATTCACTGACTCTTTCACTGACTCTCTACTTTACCAAAGATGATGTCCCTCTCCAGGGACTGGTCCCTCCTGACGACATGTCCAAAGAATGTGAGATGATGTCTCACCGTCCTCTATTCTAAGGAGCATTCTGGCTATATTTCTTCTGAGACAGATTTGCTCATCCCTCTGGCGTCTACGGTATATTTAATATTTGTCAATACCATAATTCAAAGGCAGCAATGCTTCCCTCATTCATTGGGCAGTTTTCATAAGCATATGAGGTGACTGAAAATACTCTAGTTAGGGTCAAGTGCTCTTCAGTCCTCACGGTGACATGCTTTCTCTTTAACCTTAAAAAAGGGCCTTTTGAATGCTTCCTCCCCCCACCCTCAGGATCCCAATTCGACCTTACAAATCCGGCTAGACCAGAGCATGTACACTGGTGCAGATAGGAACTGGAAACACAGGGACTCCAAGACAGATGATCCCCTCAGGACCAGCGGTGAGAGTGGCGATACCAGGAGGGTGGAGGGAAGGTAGGGTAGAAAGGGGGAACCAATGACAAGGATCTACATATAACCTCCTCCCTGGGGGACGGACAACAGAAAAGGGGGTGAAGGGAGACGTCGTAAGAGAAATAGTAATTTATAAATTATCAAGAGTTCGTGAGGGAGGGGAGGCAGGGAGGGAGTAGTGGCAGGGAGGGAGGGGAAAAATGAGTTCATACCAAGGGCTCAAGGAGAAAGAAAAAGTTTTGAGAATGACGATGGCAACAAATGTACAAACGTGCTTGACAGAGTGGATGTATGGATGGTAGTAAGAGTTGTATGAGCCCCCAATAAAATGATTTTTTTAATATTAAAACAAAATAATTGTAGATTTGGCCAATCCAATGTGCCTCGATTTTTTGACTGCTGCTTCCAAGTGTGGATTGCAGAACCAAGTGAAATGAAATTCTTGTTAATTTTAATCTTTTGTTTGCGTCTAAGGTATTTTCTTTTTTAAAAAACATTTTATTAGGGGCTCATACAACTCATCCCAATCCATATCTCCATCCATTGTGTCAAGCACATTTGTACATTTGTTGCCATCATAATCCTCAAAACATTTTCTTTCTCCTTGAGCCCTTGGCATCAGCTCCTCATTTTCCCCCTCCCTCCCCACCCCACCCCTCATGAACCCTTGATAATTTATAAATTATTATTTTTTTGTCATATCTTACACAGTCTGATGCCTCCCTTCACACACTTTTCTGTTGTCTGTCCCCCAGGGAGATTTAATTTCAAACTTCTCTTCAATTATGATGTTGCTTATTGGTCCAGTTGTAAAGAAAACTATATGGTAAATCAAGTGATTTTAGGTTTTCTCTTCAAAGTAGTATACAGTTTGCAATTCCTACAACAAACCTCCAAATACTGAAAATTAGATGAAAGAAAATATCCCTTAAAAATTAGTAACAATTAAGCATCAAATAATTAACTCTGCTGACTGCTTCAAAGGGCTTTGACTTATACTTACTTTACATTCACAATACCTTTGTGACAAGTAATATCCTTATTTTAAAGAAGAGGAAATTAGGCTGAAGGAGGACATGTAACAAACACTAGTGCTGGGATCAACAAGTTAGTGAATTTTCAGAAATCAAAAGCTTTTAAGAAATCCTTCAAGATAGTATCTGGTGAATATTCCCATTTTAACATTTTTTGTTTAAAAAGTCCAATGACAACAATAAAAACATGTTCTGTTCCTTTGAGATGTTTTACTTGATCTACAAAAAGTAAGTGTAACATAAAGAGGGAAAAGCAGGTACCATAAACAACAGATCTTCAAAGAAGCCATGTGGAATTTATGTCAGCATATTGCAAATGAACCCAAGGCTAGGAAAGATGGGGCACAATCCCAGACTCCAGGGTAAAGAATAATAGTTACTGGAGGTTGTCTTGGAGAAATGCTTACTTAAGAGAATTAACTGGTTCTCAAAACCCAAACTTAGCGCCATGAAGTCGATTCTGCCTCATAGTGACGTTGCATCAGGCATCATTAATTCAAAGGTTCGACATAAAGCAATGGTGGCCAATTCCTAGCAAGTCACCAACACTATACTACCTACATGGAACCAACACTATACTACCTACCTGGAACAGACATTTGGCATATAAATTCTAAGCCGTTTGGCTTCAAATGCGCTGGTACATACCGGGAGCCCTGGAAAACCAGGGCGTTACAGTGAAAGCAAATAGGAGCATTCGGTGCCGCGCACCCGACGCGGAACAAAAGAGGTGGCCGACAGAAGACGCCGCCCCGGTTTCTCACGTTAAAGCTCGTGAACGAACGGTTGAAGTGGCAGTGTGTGAAAGCATAATCGTGCGGTTTAATACTCGCAGGGGGCGGTGGGGGTGGGAACCTTGTACAACTAGCGTTCGCTTCCTCCGCGTCCCAGACCCTGTGCTTTTCCGCGGTCGGTGAAGTTCGAGTGATAACACGCCAAAACCAGCCCCGGTTTTCGATAGGCGCGCACCCGAGGCCCGGCCGGGCCAGATATGACAAAATACCAATTTATAAACTATCAAGGGCTCATG